TATTATTTTATTTCCTATCTTGATTTTTAAGTTCATGAATCTAAGGGTTATAATATTGTGATATGTTTCTACTGCCATGCTCAATACGAGAAAAGTATTATTTTATTTCCTATCTTGATTTTTAAGTTCATGAATCTAAGTTAATGAAGGAGCTGTAAATATAGTTTATGTTTTTACTTCCAATATTTAGGTAATTTTTAGAGGAAAAACTCGTGCATCGAAATATTTTTCATTTTTTGGGGTTGTGGTATTTTATATCTGAATGCACAAAGTTTATAAAATGTAAAGCCAGTGCTGTGTATGTAAAGTAACTAAAACAGTTAAGTGACCTGAGATTAGGTACGTAGAGTTCTGAATAAATCTAATGGTTGTGTTGTGTGGGGCGTTTCAATGACTGCAAAGTTAAAGTAGAAATGGGTTAAACCTATTCCACAACACGTGATACACACCAAACACCTCTGTCACAAAAGAAACTTTGAACCGAATGGTCTGATCAAAAATGACAAACCGATCGACTTATGTAGTAAAAGACACTAGATCTAGGGACACTTTCAAAACTTGGGTATCGGAGACAAATACTAAAACTCAACAGGGTAACAGTGCCAGTGGTCTAAGTGTCTATAATCAAATTAAATTCACACCAAAGCCTTAACACATAAACAGTGCTGTCTGAGATGGTGCTATGAGGGATGACAAATCCATTTCCCAGATATCTTTCCCTCTTTAAAGCATAGCATAATCTACATCCCCTTTCCCTTACGCATGTGATGACGTCGTCCGTACTTCTCTCTACCTAGTATTATTTTTACCTGCTTTAAAGAATATTAAAAAGCTTCCCACACACTTATGATGGCATTGTTCGTACATACCTACTCCTAATTTCATTTTTGCATAGTTTAATAAAGTTTAGAAACCTTCCCACGCACGTTACTCTTTTAATTATATAGATGCATTACTCCTCGAGATTTTTCTTACGAGAATTTTACAAAGAAAACGACGTATTTTATCACCCTTAATTCAAATCCTAAATTTTTTATGATAAAGAAGAAAAAACATCTGCTACCCACTGAAACGGTAAACTAAAATCGTCGCTCGATCCCTACGAGGATAGCCTATTGTGTAGCCTTGCGCTTGACAACAAAACAACGAAACATCACCACATAATAATCTGTATTGTACGTACTATATAATACGTTATTATATATAAAACACTTTAGCTCAATAATACGAATTATTCCTTCCCATCTAAAACTTTGCATGATATAAAAATAAAGAAACTAATGCAAATATCCTACCTTTCATTTTAATCTTTTAAACCTAAGACCTACTTGAAGTTGGAGGATGCTGCAAATATCATTATAATATGAAAAACTGTGTTACATTCTGGTTTTGGTGACATCATAAGGATACATCAATACATTCACAGCCTAACATGCAACAGACTTGTACTTTAGATGCTCAGCTTCTCATTTGGTTCGTGTAGTAACACTACTCGTGTATAAACAGTAAGGGTCTGATAACAATTAATCTGCACGGGAAGAAAACTTTTGCACACTGCTACAACAAATGCGATAATAATGAGCCGTTTTAGAGAAGTATAAGAGAACATATCGCTCCCCTCCCCTTATTTAAAAACAACCCCAAACTTCCTTCCTCTCATGATCTTCTGCGTTTGTAGATATACGTCGTTAGAGAAAGTTACTTCCTTCTGACTTATTCAAGTTATCCTTCATTTTAATTACTTGAGCTACAAAGACGTATTGTTAAGCAGACTCTGTATGGTGAGCATAATTTGGAAAAAAGTTTAAAAAAAAGTTGGATGCATTCTATGGCAAAGAGAATTAAAAAATACACATGAGGGTAGAGTGAAAATAGGATTTAACAGAGTAAATAAATCAAATAACTTCGAACTATTACTTTTAACACTCATGCAAAAACAAATTCAATGTTTTCGGCCACGAGTCCACTTTAGACACAAGATGTTCGTCGCCAAAGGCTAATGAAACAAAAAAAAACCAATAACTTTTAATGTACAGGCTAAAGAAACGAAGAAACCAATAACTTTTAATGTACAGGCTAATGAAACGAAGAAACCAATAACTTTTAATGTACAGGCTAATGAAACGAAAAAACCAATAACTTTTAATGTACAGGCTAATGAAACGAAGAAACCAATAACTTTTAATGTACAGGCTTTGTTCTTGGTATTTTCAACATAATGTACTAAACTAACTTAGAACTGGTTAGTAGTGCAGCAACCACTCAGCAACAGCGGGATCTAACATGTGGCTACTCTTGAACGTAATAGAGTCGGTCGTAGTATTGTGGTTCCCAGCAGAGAGTCAATGGCTCACGTCCTTTTGCCATAAAATCATGTTCTACACTTTAGTGCCGGGATTTCATTATAACAGTGATGATCAAATCCAACTATTTGATTACAGTAGTCCAAAAGTTGACGATATATGTTGTTTATTAATTGCCTTACGTCTGGTCTATCAGTTTAAATTTAATGGTAGCTAGCTTGAATTATGTGAGAATAACCGAAACAAGCAAACGCAACCATATAGCGGGATTGGCCATCACGCTTATAATACTCCCATAGATGAAAGTGCGGAATATGTCCAGCAGTACATCGCGGCTCCAACCTTAGACCTTCCGATTCGCAGACTAACAGATAACCAGTAGGCCAAGCCTCGCCTTTATCGTATATCCTACCAAGGAAGTAGCCCATTCTTTGTTTGTTAGTTTTCAGAATTGTCGCGTAAACTTACACAAAGGGCAATTTGCAGCAAATAGCAATTCGTAATTTTTAGTTCGCAGACTATAGGGAAAGCAGCTAGTCAAAAGCTCCCATCACCAACTCTTGAACTACTCTTTTCTGATCGTTACTCTTATAGTACAACCACGGCCCCACAATAAGGAGAACGTTTCATCAACTGGAAGCCGGATATAACGAGTATTCGTGCATTTACATGCCAAAACATAACAGTCAAGTCACCGGACATAGCGCTATGGATTTCTGTGTGATCGAACTGTTGAAACGGACACCGAAAAACCGTCGTCCTCGTACGCTAGATGTATTATGGAAAGCCTGACATTTTTACAACGGAGCCTTTTGCAAAGAAAATTACGCTTAAGGGCTATTGTCAATGTGTGCTGTCGTCAGATATAGCATGACCAAATGTGGCAGTATGGGATGTTATGACGTGGAGAAGCTCCGTAATGATTTTAATATAACGTACACAACCTTTGTAGCTAAGATCTTAAAATATTTCGAATAAACAACTACAGTGTTTGTCAGCTACGGCATTTTCCATAATACCTAACAATTCGTTTCTCATTTCAGTATTTTCATTGTAAATAACGTGATATAACATACCCTAATGAACAACTAGGATATGTAAACTGATAAACATTTGATGTTTTCAGTAACAGTGTTCTGTCGTTAAACCTGAAAAACATTTTGTAATCGTCACACGCTGGTTTCTTAATATTGTAGTAACTTCTGCTGTTTTGTGTTAACATACAACTGTTTCTCGTTGTCAAGTATTGATTTCTCAGTGTTGTAGTCTACACTGAATTTCTAAAGTACGGTAATTTTCAATCAATATAGTTGGTGTTACAATTCAAGATTTCTTTACCACAACAGGCTGAAACTATCAATTTTGAAAGTTTTCATTTTAGACATTTAAAAATGCTTGTATGTAGAGAACTGTATACCTTTGTAATCATATAAGCAGAGTGTATCAACATCTTAATGTCATCGTTTTTACAAATGCTGATAGGGATTTGTCGAAATTGAAATAAAGACTTGAAAGTGATTTTTTTAAGAAAATTTTGCTATTGCTGTGGTGTACGGTATTAGTAATATTAATGATTTTCTACTTAAGGTTTTTTTCGTTCTCGTATTTCATGATGAGGTTATTAGAGGATTGAGACATCTGCTCTTTACTGATTCTGAGTAGTATAGTACTAGGAAATACTACCCAACAGTAGCATTCAAACTTTAGATGTAGTGAAGAAAAATCAACTGTAATAACTCATTTATAGCGTTTATTTTCATATCGATCAATATATATATATTAAAACCTTAATGTAGATTATAGCTTTTTGTTTTTGTCTGAGTTGGGATGGTGGGGTCAGAGCAGAATAACATTACTGCAAACGTATAACATTGTTTATTAATTTATATAGACTGATTGTTTATGTTTGGTCAAACACTTGATAACTCCAAACTCAAACATGTAAATATTATTGCAGGAACGTAGTATTTTAGAGAACGTTTTCAGGCAACTGTTATGAAATTTTCGTTTAAATAATTTCAAAGTAACAGCACACACTACATCCTTGAACAAATAATCAATTTAAGACTTTAATACAAAAGTAATGTTACAAAAGAACAAGATTGGCTATAGGTTTCCAGTACCCATTTCTAGCCACGTCTTCTTCGTACTTCCGACAAGCATTTCCTTTCCCCTTAACAATCCTATACACTGAATCATTCTGTCTCTACTTCAACGTTTCGGAAATAAATAAACCTAAATTCTTGAGTCTGTCTTCATGACTCATACGTTTTAAGCTAGGTATCTTTCAAGTATATAGTATTCCTGATTTAAACGAATAATGGTGTACAAAAATAACTTGAAATTAAAGATCAACTAAAATGAAAACATATAATGAGAAAACTTTTAGCTGGTGGACAAAATCCTGCCAGTTTCTGACGTCGAACCTCAGCTCTTGGAAATATGTAAAAGAAAACCAACAAACTCAAACCCATAAAGCTATAAACTTCAGCCAGTCGCAGTGAAGAGATATTCCTGGAAATATGTGTAAATTATTCTGCCACAAGTCATGACAGTTGCATAGGTAATTTCGCCTGTCCCCCACTGAGACAGCGTAAAGTCTGCGGATTTACAACGCTAAAATCAGGGGTTCGATTCCCCTCGGTGGACACAGCAGATAGCCCGATGTGGCTTTACTCTAAGAAAAACCCACACAAACCCGTAATTTCGCCATAAAAATGTACTGAGTACCATAAATGATTGCATCAAGTACTGGTTAATGTAAACCTAGACTGACCATTCCTTACCTTAGAGATCAATAACCCTCTAAAGACTACGTTTCGCGAGTTTATGATAACATCATGTTCCCATGCCGAATACAGTGAAAATGTTAACATTTTTATATTTCTAAATTAACCAGTTAAAGAAGAGTAATATAATAACAAAAATAAATCTAAAGGTTCATCTTCAAACTTTTTTCCAACATATAAGTACAAATGTACTTTTGTCGTAGAAGGACCACAATGGCACAAAAAACTTTTAGTAGAGCCTAATCAAAGTCTTGTACAAAATTACAATAACTAGCATAGAAGTTATTGTAGATCCATAATCCATTTGACCTGATTTACGTCATAATATTTATTGTTCAAGCAGTTTAATAATGGAAAATCGCGTCTGAACCACTACTATGTCTATCATTTCCTAGCCGACCCGATGAGTTGTGGTACTGAGCGAAAGCTCTCGTTGGCACTGGATATGACAGATATAGTATGGTTGACATATTAATTTTTCTGTTAAATTCCTAGAATTAACATTTCTCATTATAACCAAGTAACAAGCCATAGGTTTTCAGGCTTTTTTCAATAATCAGAATTGAACTTTTTATTTCAAAGGTCTCATTCACAAGATACATTTCACATAATAAATATTTATTATTTTAAGTTTCCGTAATACAAGGTATCATCTTAATTTTATGAATATTGATAATAATTTTCTACATATTTGCCCATTTAATAAGTCAGTACAAATCTTTTTGTGTTAAATAAATATCTTCTATAAAATAATTTTCTTGCATTTGAGCATGTTAGCAAATCTGGAAATATTACTGCCAAATATAATAACAATAGAAAGGTTCAAAACAGTCTTTCGTTGGGCTTTGGTAATCATTTCCTTCCAATAAAAACAAATCCCATTTATCAAACTCTGAAGTATATATAATAGCAATGATCATTGACATAAGTAATCTAGACCTTTGTTTCTAACTTAACAGTGCACTGTGACACAATTATTTCTACAGTCTCTCTCTCTCCAGCTCCAGCAGCCAGAGGAATTATATTAACATATTCAGAAGCCAGCCAATTTAATATAAATCCAGTCAAACATTATTGTTGACATCTCCATTCTGAGTCAGACATCATTGTTGACACCTCCATTCTAAATCAAACATAACTGTGGACACCTACAATTTGAGTCAGACATGATTGATGACACCTTCTCTCTGTGTAAGACGTTGTTGTTGATACCTTCACACTGAATAACATTTTATTTTTATTCGTACGACATAATCATAAAGCATTGCGTATGGTGTTTTTATTTCAAAACTATAATGATAATAGAAAAACAAGAAGCCGGCCATCATAGACATTGTAACACAAAAACCACAGTTACATATACAAAACTTGTATATCATGTTATTTATAGACTCTGATAGACAGAAGTTGGATTTCTTCTTATATTCGAAAAGATGAAACCTAGCTTTTAGAGTCATATCAAACAAGCTTCCAATCTCAC